CCCCCCTGTCTCCTCGGAGACGTCCATCACACGACGCGGTGACGCTCTGAATAATTGACGAAGCTCGACGTTTGTTCGGACGAAGTGAAGTCGTTCGGTCGATCAGGGCCGAGGTTTAGCATCACATTAGCTTCAAGCTAAGTTAGCCAAGTCAGCCAAAAGTCAGAGCTGTTGTTAAAGGGATAGTTCACAGGAAAATGGAACTTCACTCATCATCTACTCACCACCATGTCTCCATCCTGCTCCTGTGGTGTCCTCCAAGTGTCCACAAGCCGAGACGTTTACATTCAACTTGAAACGTCTGAATGTCCGTCGTTCTCCTCTGGAGCCATGTTCACGCTCACGCTCACCGCACGAGCTCGATCCTCTGCGTTCTCAACATTTAAACCTTATTAGCTGTATATTATTAGATTTAAGAGCTAAGTTGGCTAATGTAGCTCGGAGCTGATCATCAAAGCTTTAGAAGCACAGTTGTTTGTATGTGTAGATTTTTTAATAAAATTGTTCAAAATATATTTCAAATGTTAAAACCAACTTATTCATTTTACAATTGATTCAATAGTTTCAAAGATTTACAAAAACTTCGCTGTCGGTTAAAAACGGTAACAAAAGAAAAATCCTAATTTCCATCCTGGTCCAGTTTCCTGTTGTGTTTCCACATTAAAGGTTTTTAGAATCTGTTTGACAAAGTTTATAAAAACATCAGAACCTTTTCCAGTCAAATTAAAGAACAAACGTAGAATTACAATTAGTAGGTTTCGTTGTTTTTAGATGTTTTAACGTGTAAAAAATGTAAGTTTGACTTCTAACCCTGCAGTATTTGTACTTCTTGTACTTACTGTACAATAAAGAATCTGGGTACTTCTGCAGGTGTTTTAAATCCACACTCTGGATCATTCTGTCCACGCGTTGTCTCGTCCCTCACATCATCTCGTCCACGTCAGGAGAAACTGTTGTGAAGCTCCAGAGGAGCTGCAGCGTCTCTGTGACACAAACCATCAGCGTCGGCCTCGACTGTCGCTCACCATCGCAGAATGTGATGATCCAGATGTTGCTCCGCAGCCCCCCCCCCCTGCCTCCCGATCAAAATGTGTTCAGTTCTGCTCTGCAGGGACGAAACGTCTAGAAGGACTTCCATCGGATGGCGGACAGGATGGTGTGGACGAAGTAGAGCAAAGTCACCACGTACGAGAAAACCTGAAGAGACGGAGAGGAAGAACGTCATGTGAGGAGACGGACAACACATTCAAAGAGACAGGAAGTGACACAACATCTGGACTGGAAACATCTGGACTGATGCTGTGTCAGAAGCTCAGCAGGTTGATGTGTGTCGACCTCAGACGTTCATGTTCTTGAGCTGGTTCTAACCATCACGTTGAACTCGACTCACCACTGCAGAGATGTCCAGCTGATAGTTCTGGAACTTTGTCCCGTCCTTCATCTCCAGAGTCACTTTGGCCAAAGCCACTGAAGCACTGAGGTAGAAGAAGGCGGCGATGCCATGATACGCAAAGTCCTGGAGGAGGAAGAGGAGGAGGAGGAGGAAGAGGAAGAGGAAGAGGAGGAGGAGGAGGAGGAGGAGGAGGAGGAGGAGGAGGAGGAGGAGGAGGAAGAAGATGTGAACTGTGTCAAAGTGAAGCTTTAGATTCGTCTCATTCATGAAGACACGTTGTTGATGCTGTGGAACGTTCTGAATACTGAACCATGTCAACATTTAAAATCATCGACCTGGATATGAGCAGAAGATTTGAAGTACTTGAGTTAAAGTACTCGGTTACTTAATAATCTGATTCAGGATCAGTGTGAGGACGACTCACTGCTGCGGCCCAGCTGCCTCTGTTGTGATGACCCCCGCAGGTGAACACCAGCATCCAGATGAAGGTCATGACGAAGCAGAAGACGGAGACGAACATCACCCAGCCCTGAGGATTCGCCGGCACCACCAGCGTGCACGCCACCAGGATCCACACCAGCCCGCCGAAGATCTGCAGAAGGGACCAGAGACACGAGAGGGGGACGTCCCCGTGTCAACAGATACGAATCAAACTTTCTGCTCCGAATGTTTTCATCGCTGATTCCTCTGCAGATTATTGTCTGATCACTAGTTCAGCTTTAAACCTTGTTGACTCTGAAGAACCAGTTTCAATCATCACGTTTCAGTTTTTCTGCTTTGAAAGATCAAAGATAAAGTCTGAGTGTCGTTAAAGCAGCAGATTCGTTTTCTCTCAATCCGACTCGTCAGTGATTCAAACTGCGTGTTCAGGAAAACCAGCAGAAAAGAGTCAGATCGGGATTTTTCAGTCTCGTCCTCTTGATCTGACGTGAACCTGCAGCTCAGTGAGTCACAGCAGACGAACCTCGTTCTGTCTCTGAAGACAGAAATATTTCTTTCATATCTGATGACGTCTCTTATCACTGCAGTCTTGGCGGCTCCATTATTTTGTCGTCTCTCCAGCTCTGGTGTTCCTGCCTTTGTTCACCCTAAACCTCTGATGATTAACGATCTACATTATTCATGGAGCTCCGCCCTCCTCCACCTGCTGCCACACACCTGTGTGTGTGTGTGTGTGTGTGTGTGTGTGTGTGTGTGTGTGTTTGTGTGTGTATGCGCCTACATTTCTTGAAGTTCATTTCATATCAGCTCTTTGCTTCGTTCTGATCTCTCGAGTCATTCTAGGAATTGCTCCTCTCTCTCTCTCTCTCTCTCTCTCTCTCTCTCTCTCTCTGAACTCTTGGCTGCTGTGACCTTTGACCTCTGCAGATTATTTTCCTCTGAACATCATCACTGTTTCTCTGGTTTGTATTTTTCCAGCGGAGTCAGGCTGACTGCAGCCGGAGTGTCGGCACGGTGGTTTCTGTTCCAGCACCACGTTTGAGCTCCGGCTCTGGTCCAACTGCTGCTGGAACATCTGGATCCAAAACTGTGAAAACTTGAGAATCTGTTTCAGCACCCGGCCCGGTGTCGGCCCGGTGTCGGCCCGGTGTCGGGGACCTCGTCCTTCTTGAGTCTCACAACCTGGTTTGATTTACGCCACTTTGAAACTGAAATCTTTTGTCCACATGAGGAAACATTTCTGGAAGTGATGATGTTTTTAATAAACCAAACTAAAAACATATTGTAAAAGTTTTGAGTCTAAGTTAAATGTAGTTATTGTGGGTAAGTTAAATTTAAACAGCTTAACTTCATTCATGTCTTTATTTCATTGATTTATATGAATCCAAGGTTTTACGATCACTTTCCAGAATTAGGAAATTCATTGTTCACTTTTAAAAGTTTGTAAGAAAATAATGACTTTGTTTAAACAAACGTTATAAAATCTCCAGTGAAACGTGACAATTCATTTACTGGTCGACATTTTCAAAAACACAGTTTTGAATTGAGGAATTAAGTTGAAATATTTTGACGGGTAAGTAGAAACTCATTAAATACAGAAGACATGAACTGAATCCAGTGCAGCAGCTGTCGAGCAGATGATTCAGTCATAACTTAATAACACAACAGGGAAACATGCTCATCGGCCACATGAGAACACAACTACAGGTCATTTAAAAGAGAAATTCAGGGAAATGATTGTTCTTTGTAAAAAAAAAAAAAAGAAATACTCACTTCTTAAGAAAAGGCTTTGAAATCCATTTGTGTTTTCTGGTTTATTTAAACTAAATAAAATCGGAATAAAAGTTAAAACCTTGTTGATACGATGAGTTGTTGTTCAAACAGGAAAGAGCCTCAGTTTCCACACAACGAAACAAAAAACAGTTTCTCTGTAATCCGTCACAAAGTTTTATTCTGACTTTGGTTTGTTTGATTCTGAAAAGTTGAAGGATACACCGAATTTAATCCGCGCGTAAAAGTTTCCATGTCGTGCGTAAAAGCTGCGTAAAACCGCCGCACACAGACGGAGCTCACAGGGAAACGTTGTTTTCTTGCAGCTGCTGTTTCTTACCAGCTCTGGCAGGTACAGGATGTCGGGGATGGTCGTACATATTCCGATCCCGCTGGGGAGGTTTCCCATGGTGGCGGTGCTGGAGGCCATGATGCTGCTGCAGCTCAGACTGAAGCGGGTCTCACCGCTGCTGCGCTTTAAACCTGAAGAGACCGACCGGAAAAACCGGAATCCCCCATCGGCCGCGCGGAGGGAGGGAGACACGCGGCCCGAACAAGCTCCGGAGCTTCCGCTGCTGCAGGTTCAGTGATGGAGGATCAGTGAGAAACATCCATCACCATGACAACACGTCTGCCTCCATCAGCAACAGCAGTTTCAATGGTAACAGTGATTAGAACAAAGTCTCAGTGAGGATTTATTTATATCGCTTCTATTTTCTTGAGGATGTGAATCAGAATATGTTCATTTCTTAACTGTTATTATTATTATTTCTGTTATTATCACGTAAACTGCTGACGACCTGCGTCATCCACATTAAGTTCACGTGTTGAATCTAAATGTGAAACTTGTTTTATTGCAGCTCATCGGTTCCAGTTCAACAAAAACACAGAGTTTATTCTACATCGTCCGTTCTCAACTAATTAGGTGAAACAATAAAGATGTTGGGAGGGAGGGAGAGAGGGAGGGAGGGAGGAGGGAGAGAGGGAGAGAGAGAGGGAGGGAGGGAGGGAGGGAGGGAGGGAGGGTCTGTGAACAACCTTCACACTTCATGCTCTGGGTTTGAACTCGTCTTTCTCCAGATGTTCCTGTGATTATATTCCTGGAGAAACCGTTTTAAAGACCTTCTCTAAGACAACATATGGAAACATGACCCACTCTCCTGTGACTCTCGTGTCAGAGCAGCCGGTCTCATGATGATCGTCTCGAGCCGCTCAGTGGTTCGAACTCAAATATAAACCCCCGTCTTCATGTGTTCTTTATGCATCGTGTTGCTGACTCAGTTTGTGGCCCTGCAGCCTGTCACACCTCACACTGTGAACACCAGAGCCATGGAAACAACAAGCTTCTCGTTTGGCAGCGTGAAGCCTCTGAGCAGCCGAGCTGTCGGACAAACACCTCAGACAACCACCGAGCTGGATCTGGTTTCCTGCCGCCGTCACCTGATCCCTCCGCCTGGGAAACCTACTCCCGAGGAGACGAGGAGTCCTCAGACCAAACTTCAGTTTCACAACAACCACAGCTGTGACACTTAATAACGTTCAAGTGTTCGTCCTCCAAACTGTGAATATCTCTCCTTCATTCTTTTCTAGTGTTTGATATTTTTCTGTTTCTGAACAAACATCAGTTCTTAGTTGTCGACGTCATGATTGACAGTTTGACTCCTGATTGGTCGAGAGCGTGGGTCAACAGGACGCTATCTGTCCAGGTCCAGATGTTGGTTCATGTGGTTGTAATGAGCGCTGCAGCCTCTAGGAGACGCTCTGCGCTGATAACATTGTTACTTTAATGTCTTAATCAGGTTTCAGTGGAGCTGTGAGGTGGAGCGATCAGTCGGGGTTTGATCGGAGGCTGTAGCGTTAAGTGTTCAGACCTGAGATTGAAGAACGCAGCGTCTCCTCAGCACCATGAACACGATGAGCAGGACAATGGACGAGCGAGGACAAGAAGAAGAGTCTGGAGGCGCAGACTGACGAGCTCCTCTGTGCCAGTTGGACCGGCTCAGCTCGGCTCGGCTCGGAGAGTAGAATTCATTTTAATGTTCAAAGTGTTTTGCTGCTTCTCGTCCAAGTTTCCACCGTCAAATATTTGTAATCTCGATGGGACGAACCTGGTTAAATAAATGTTCATTCGTTCATAAGTGATGATGTCGTGAACTGGAGCACCAACATTTTCAACTGGTTGTTGATTTGAGATGGTGTTCACGAGAATCTGGAGCTAATTTCTCCGATTATTCCAAAACCACTTGAACGCACACAGAGACAATAATGTCGACATAAGTTAACAGATGTTGTATAAGATGCATTTTGGTATCATGAATATTTCTACGTGAACAGACAGTAACACACAGAAGGAGTGAACGCCAAGAATTTAAATGGAATGAAGTGTAAATACACAGAAAAACGTTTTAAGATAAATTGAATTTTATTCATAAACTTAGATGCAAAACACAATAAAATGCCAATAAAAGAAGAGTTAAAGTTGCGTCGTCCTCCTCACACGAACGACACGTGGACAGTCGATGTCCTGGTTCTGTTCTCGATCGTCATCTCTGACATTCCTGATCAAACATCTGATCTTTCGCGTGTTCGTGTTGTTTGACGTCACCCTGACGACAGGCGTGTGCTCAGAACAGAGATGAGACGTGAGATAGAGACAAAGTCCACAGTCAGCTCAGAGTCACAGAGATCCACAGATAACGACCTTTATTTTCAGAGACGTTTTTAACCAACAGACGCAGCTGGAGAGAGATCAAATATACAATGACCGTCACTCAGAGGAGCTCCTCCCCCACGATGGTTGACATCAGCTCTGTTAAAGACGTCTGATCATTTTCATCCATGAGTCTCTGATGGTGGAAGAACGTTCAATCTCACAAAGTTTCACATTCATACAGATGTTACGGTACCTGATGCTGCGGGTTTACACAGATGTTACGGTACCTGA